GCTGAGTCTGCGGCACCCCACCGGACTTTGAACTTCCCTACACCACACATACCCACGACATGCTTTGTGGTCCAACGTTGTACACCTGCCGGAAGGGAGCTCATGGCGCGAGCCAGACCGGTCCAATGGGTCTCCATCTCTGCCTCTGGTGTAATCGTCTGCCGCTCGTGCCATCGCTTGCGTAGAGCAGGCAGCGCCACCAGTTCCTGGACCTGTTCTGGATTCAATCGCGACTGTTTGACATCCCCAATGTAGAGGGCAGCCAATTCGGTAAAGAAACGAGCGTTAGGCGCAATCAATCGGTGTGAAGCTTCGAGCTGGTGGCAATAGGCAACCGCCCACGCATCCACTTCCACATTCTGTTTGGACCACCAAGAGAGGCACGAAAAGGATGTCGCCGTATCAAGGTGACCGTACACGTGGCTAGGTTCCCACAAGGCCCTAGAGCGGGCAAGTGCCTCCCGGATAGAGGAGACCAGGTCAAACTGAGCTTGTTGCGGTGTATAAAACTCAGAAATCAAAAATCAAAAACTAAAAAGTAGAAGATTAATTTCCATTCACAGCACCAAAACAAAACTGTACCAGTCCTACGCGTTTTCTACGTAAAGGAAAACAGTTGTTGTTGCTGAAACAGGAAATAAATGTACTTTAACATGAAGGATAACATCGTCAACCCGCCGGAGAAGGATCCGAATTTGATCATGACTGTAGCTGACCAAGGTCAGGGAGGTCTAGAGGAAAAAACCCGATCAAATTCGACCACTCAATCGTCGATTGCTCTAACAAAGGATAACCCTGCCATCACGACGCCCAAGCGCAGCAGGAAGCGAAACCCTTCAGAAACCGCCGAGGATGGCGCAATGAAAGGCCGCTCGCTCTTCCCATCTGGAGTTCCCCAAGGTCAGGACGTCACGGTCAACACTCGCCCAAATCCGACCACTCCTTTGTCGATTGAGTTACCCACAAAATTCCTCTGTATCCCAGGAAAAATCCTTGCATCTTGTTTGTACTTCCCCACCAACAGTGGGAGCGCCGATTTGTCCCCTGACATGATCGACTAGAGCAACTTTTTTCTTGAAAAATG